GGGGGGGGGGGGGGAGAGAAAGGGGTGAAAGGAGAGGCGTAAAAGCAAGAATCCTGTGTGTACTTTTAAATATAGTTTTCACCATTATGTATCTGTATTACATTTTTTTAAAAGACCTGTTTTTAAAGGAAAAAAATGTTCTTAAATTTCTTGGGTAGTCCAACAAACACAAGCTTTCCTGGTGTCCCACATTCAGAGTGTCTGCACCTACACATACACAAGGAGATACAAGTCTGCCTGTCTACAGATCCATCCCTCTGTCCATCCAGTATTAAACTCATACAATATATTAGACCCTGAACCAGATTCTGAAGATACAGGATTTCTGCCCTATTGGGCTCACAGATAATTTTTTTTGAGGGAGGTGGACAAGCAGTAAATTTTAACTCCAGGTGAGAGAGCTAAGCACATAGTATTAGGCACAGAGGGACACCTGCCCTAGTCTGGGGGAGACAGGGAGACTTCCTGGAAGGGAGAACATTTGAATGAATCTTAAGCTGTAAGTAGGAGTAAAGCAAGTGAGTAAGAATCAGAGAGGTTTCATAGACAGGGGTGAGCATGGACAAGGACATGGAGGTGAGAAACGGCTGTGTGTGTGTGTGTGTGTGTGTGTGTGTGTGTGTGTGTGTGTGTGTGTGTTGGGGAATACAGCTACAATCAGTTTGGTGCAGCTGGAACACCAAAGGTGAGGCCAGGAGTGACAAGGCTGCAAAAATAAGCAGGGATACTTAGGCTTGTGCCTTGGGAAGATCTCTCGGATGGCATGAGGGGGACACAGAAAGCCATAGCAACATCCTGGTGAGGGACGACAAAGCAAGAGCTAAAACAGGGATAGCAGAGATGCGGATGATAAGAAACTTGAGAAATATTTAGATGGCGAAATAGTGATTAATAGGTTGTGGAGGTGAGGAAGAAAAAGGAGTCACAAAGGGGTGGTTAAGAAAAAAAAAAAAGGAGAGCTGGGGACAAAAGTGGGAATCCCTATGTGGCTGGGTAATATTTAAGATGTTAATTTCCAGACTCTCCTCCCTTCCCTGTATTTTTCCCTTTCTGTCTTCTCACCACCCACTGTACCACACCCATGCAACAGAGAGCAGGCTTTGTGTACGAGGACCCAGGGGAAGAGATGGGGGTGGGGAAGACAGCTTCTAACAAGCTCTGGCTTTTGGCATTGGTAGCCTGGCCCCAGATGAAAGGTTAGGATTTGGAACATTATCTCAGCCAGGGGTGATTTTGCCCTCCAGAGGACATTTGGCAATGTCTGGGGACATTCTTGGTTGTCACAACTAGGATAGTGCTAATGGTATCTAGTGAGTAGATGCCAGGAATGCTGCTAAACATCCTACAAAATACATAGGTAGACCCCACAACAAAGAATTATCCAGGCCAAAACATCAACACTGTTGTGCTGAGGTTGAGAAACCCTGGCTTAGGGGACAAGCAGAATGACTTGGAGAAACACAAGATCCTCATGCTTGCTTCAGACCTCCTGTGCCAAGAAACCCTGGGGCTTAGCCTTGAAAGTGCAGGTCCTAAGTGCTGCTGAAAGAAATCTCAGGAAGATGAAGGAGGAATGTTCCCTCTTAGTGAATTGATGTTTGCCTACACCCTAGAGCTAGTTCTGTTAAAGAAGTGCAGGGAAACGTTCTCAAAAGCAAAGTACCTGAGGCATGTAAATACGAACCATCCTATTCTTTTTCTTCTTTATAAGCATCCTTGCTACCCGGCTGGTGTGGCTCAGCGGTTGAGCATCCACCTAGGATCCAGGAGATCCCTGTTTGATTCCCGGTCAGGGCACATGCCAGGGTCTAGGGCTCCATCCCCAGTCTGGGGTGTGCAGGAGGCAGCTGATCAATGACTCTCTCATCATTGATGTTTCTATCTTTCTCTCTCCCTTTCCCTTCCTCTCTCTGAAATCAATAAAGACATAAAAAGAAAAAATATATATATCTTTCCTATTTAAAAAAGAAAAAGCATCCTTGCAAGTCTTGTTTACCCAAAGCAGTCTTTAAGACTTTCAGACTTCAGAATTTCTGTTCTGGGTTCTACATTCTGTGTTCTATGAAGTGAAACCTCTAATCCATGGAAAGTTTATAATTCGAATTGGTCGTTCTAATAACTATACCTATTTTATTATTATTATTTTTAATCCTCACCAGAGGATATTTTTTCCATTGATTTTTAGAGAGAGTAGAAGGGACAGAGGGGGAGAGAGAAACATCGATGTGAGAGACATCAATTCCCTGCCTCTAGCAAACACCTGATCGGGGCTAGGGAAGGAACTGGCAACCCAGGTACGTGCCCTTGACCGGGAATCAAACCCGACACCCTACAGTACTTGGGCCGAGGCTCCAACCAATGAGCCATACTGTCCAGGGCCTAGTAACTATATTTAAATGGTACTTCCTTTCTATGAGAGGTATTTTTTTAAACATTTTTTAAAAATATTTTTTTATTGACTTCAAAGAGAGGAAGGCAGGGGGAGAGAGATATAGAAACATCAATGATGAGAGAGTCATTGATCAGCTGCCTCCTGCACACCCCTACTGGGGATCGAGCCCGCAACCTGGGCATGTGCCCTGACTGGGAATCGAACTGCGATCTCCTGGATCATAGGTCGATGCTCAACCACTGAGCCATGCCGGCTAGGTGAGAGGCCTTTTTTTTTGGATTTTTTTTTTTAAAGCCTCTTCTCAAACATGCCCAAAGGCAAAATAAATCCTTTGACTCCAGAAATCTCTTGATTCCAGGAAGCCTATTCAAACAGAGAGTTTGAGTCTTTGCCTCATTTAACTTTCAGACCCATTCCCACAGAAACACCTCAATACTCTCCAGAACAGCCGTCAGCAAACTCTAGGTGGGGCCAAATCTGTCCAGCAGCTCTTTTGTTGTAAAACCCTCAGGCTAAGAATGGTTTTTATTATTATTTTTTAATGGTTGGGGGGAAAAAAATCAAAAGAATAATACTTGGTGACACATGCAAATTATATGAATGAGGTTATTTGGAGCACAGCCATGTTTACTCATCTGTCTGGGGTCCATGGCTTCTTTGTGCTCCCACAGCAGAGGTGAGTGTTTGCAACAGAGACTGGAGGGCCTACAAAGCTTAAAATATTTATCTGACCCTTCATAGAAAAAGTTTGTTGACTACTGCTCTTGAATCCTGTAAATTAAGGTGAATGCTCTCAATCTCATTTCCTATATAAGGACACCCCAGGACATTCCTGTATAAGGTTTTCCCAGGATCACAGAATAGGGAAAGGCTGGAGCAGGGACTAGAACCCAGGGAGGCTGCACTTCTAGTACAAGTTACTGTATCAGACATCTCGGAAGCAGTCTCTCTTCCTCTCTCTCTCCACACACCTCCACACACCTACACCCACCCACACCCACACACACCTCAGTCTGCAGGGCCAGGAGCCCAGGGATGGGGACTGGGTGGGGTGCAGTTCCTTAGGAGGGGTAGGGGCGATGGCGGGGTGGGGGGGGCAGGATCTCACCTTCCAGAAAATCCAGAAGCCATTTAACCAGCCAAGGAGAACCTCACAGATAAGGATGGTCAACACAATGTCATCTGTGATAGAGAAGATCTCATAATATTTCTACATGGAAGACAAAGAGAGGGGCAGAGAGGTCAGTGTAGTGGGGGACTGGGCAGGGCCAGGGATGTC